CACGCCGTTGATGCGTACCAGGCCGCGCGCACACGTGATGCCGAACAGATTGTTTCGGTTGATGTCGGGGTCGTTGGCCAGGTTGGTGTCTGAGGGTACTGAGCTGCCGTCGGCGGGCCGGGCGGCGGGCTGGTGCGGCGCCGCTGGTGTCGGACTGACACCAGTGCGGCTGGTGCCCGCCACTGCCGAGCACATCAGCACTACCACCGTCCACTGACGCATCTCGCTGAGTCGGAGACGGCCCGCTGTCACTGCCACCGTCCGCCGCCGCGGCTCGATAAGAAGCCGCTCTTAGAACTCTGAGCTTCTGAGGAGAGATGGCTTTGTAATGGCTCGCTAAAGGCACGTCCTCTCCTGTAAGTCCGTTAGCTGTTTGATCGCGCCCACAGTCGGCCGGCTCTAAAAAACTCTCAAGTACTGGACGGCAATCACTGATGTCACCCCGCTATCCCTCCGGGACCAGTCACAGTGGTTCCTGTTCTGACCACTGCAGCACACGACCACCTCCAGACAGGACAGTGAGCAGGCTGTCCGTCCACCGCGCCGTCCGCCTCCCACACTGTCCGCTCGCGCTGCGATACTGCCGCTATACGAGTAGAACGCAGCTGGCCGGCACGGCGCCTGAACGGAAGCGGTCTCTGAAACCCCGCGCTGATGACTCACGGTCTCTCGGCGCGTCCAGCCGGCACGGGACCACCAACACGAGCCGCTGTACCCGGAAAGTCCGCCCAGCCCTCCCCCTCCCCCGCTGCTAATCTCAGACGGATGGTTCGGCGTGTGACGTCATCGGTGGAAATGGCACGGACGGACGTGCAGTGAATGGGAGCGGACAGACTGCTCTGTCGCGGCATTTAATAATTAACAGCGGTCTGTGGACAAACTTCCCCCCGATTGCGCAATGTGGAGCCAGTCAGCTAACCTTTACATGCCAATTAAGGTTTATTTGTCATGATTCATAACAATATTTCAACTGTGCAGAGTATATTTCAACATAAAAAATATGCCTTTAAGGCTATTGCACAGCAAAAGGCTTTGTCGTGTGTTCGGTGTTCCTCTTTGAATCGAATCGAGGTCAAGGTGCGAAGTCTCACTTTGCCAGCGATCAGGGAATGTGTCAGTCAGTCATAGTCCATAGATAGGGTTCCGGGGAGCGTGGCGACCGGGGCAAGAAGCGCATAGTCGTCAGGAAGGGATAACAATGGCGAGGTAATCGGCATTTTAGGCTCTATGCCTTCCTCTTCCTTCAAACTCTGTCCATCCTCTACCACCCTCTCTCTCTCTCTCTCTCCTCTCTCTCTCTCTCTCTCTCTCTCTCTTCCTCTCTCTCTCTCTTTCTCTCTCTCTACCTTTGCACCTTCTGCATCGTTGCACTATAATTGCTACCGCTCTCAACGTCTGTCGGTCTGTCACCTGCGATCCGCCACCCGCTATTGGTCCTCCATCGGTCCACCATCGGCCCAGCAGTCCTCCATCGGTCCGCCATCGGCCCGCCATCGGCCCGCCATCGGCCCGCCATCGGCCCGCCATCGGTCTACCATCGGTCCCCCACCTTCCCGTTCCGGTCGTGCCCGCTCAGTCGGCAACAAACGCCGCTGACAGGTCACGATGGATCCGCGCTCCCGGCGGCACGGCCGCGGCCAGAACTGCTGAGAGAGGCAGCGACACAGCGAGAGTGCTCTGATGACAGCCGACATACGCGGGCCGTGATCAATCCGGCGGTCTAATGGCGGTTACCCTGAACGTCGACAACGCTTCGCCAAGCTGTAGACATTCGTTATAGACACTCCCGAACTACTTAATTCCTATCGACTTATGTGAAATGGGGACATATGTATAATTATGGAAACAAATACAAAAAAAAAAAATTATTTAAGATGACGCGTTTGTATTCAGACAAACCTCTGGAATATGGCGGAAGGCATCCTTGGGCGCAATCCCAATTAGAGCGCTGTCCCGATGACGTGGACGGTGCACTTGCGTCACCGCCACCTCACTGGCTGTATGCGCCGCCGGCGGCCTGGCTCGTTTGAATAGCCGATGTCACTGGTAGTGGGTGAAAGGGTGCCATTCGCAGGCACGCCGCAGAGGGGGGCCGCAATATTCGGGATCTCGCCGGGGCGGCGGGTATGTGAATGACATTGATCTGCAGTCTGGTGGTCCACGCCGGGCCGCACTCGGTGTATTTCGGGAGCTGTTAGTCGTGATAGCACGGCGGCGGCGCGGCCACAGTACAATCGCCCAGCCAGCAATTCGTCCGGGATGCGGTTGGGGACGGTCGGGATAGGCTCCGGATGTCCCGACTTGTCCCTACCGGGATGGGTAGGCTTGGGTTGTCCCAATCGATACCGGACCTCGATGGCCGGCGGTAGGGGCGACTCGGGATTTCCGGACCGCATGCTTAATCGGTTGGGACGCGGTACGGATAGCCCAATCGAATCCCATGTTTAGACAGGCTTGTGATTTACGTTGTTATCCCAACCGATCTGAGAAGGCGCTTCGGGCACCATATCCGGTGGCCCAGAAGGCCTGGAAAAGCAATCAGATGGGCCGCGTGCAGGCAGACGCGTCCTCTGAGCGCAGCGGCCAGTCTAGCTGCCGCGTTGGTCAAGTGTCGATCCCTCCTTTGAGCTGCTGCCTCAGGATATTGCTTTTGAACTGGCTCTAGCAAGCGGTCGGTTCAACTGTTGTCGTTGCAGGGAAATCAGTCCGTCTTTGAGAACAGGGTGAGTATAGTGCACACTTCATCCGTGATGTAGGGAGCGGGAAAGCTATAGGTAATAGAAATTGTTATGTTCGTTGTGGTTGTACGGCATGTGAATTACACTCGTGCTGTCGCATGTTTGATCAGTTATCATGGACAGAAGATGTTTGGTCTCATTGTCAAGTGTCGTTAATGGTTGCATTGTAGGTTTGAAACCTGTATTACCAGGCATACCATGTGAAATGTCAGATGTGGGTTATTTCTTAGTGATTTTTAGTGTGTCCCAGACTTTGATTAATAACCTCTTGGTCATTTTCAGATGCTCTCTTTGCACAGTAGTGAACCGCCCGACCAGATGCCAGACGTCTAGTTTCGCGGTGGCTCTCTGAAGCTCGTGACGGCAGACGGACACACTGTCCGCAGAGGAGCCGACACGAACAAGGCGCAGGCCTGCTATAACGACTGTGAACACCGGAAGTGAGTCCGCTGTGCCAGTGCCTTGCAGCGGCGCTAAGATGATGGCCGACGCCACGAATGTGCTGGCCAGGCTGTGAATTTGTGAAAATTTGACCTGTGTGCAACCAGTAAATTTGTGAATATATTTCAGTGTCCAATGCAATTCATTTTGTCGTGCAGGCATTATAAAGGTTGAGTTGGAGAATAATGAAAAGGCGAGGGGGTTGCGGTGGCGCAAGCAAAGTGGTCGCATCTGCATAACAGCAATCTGCGGTTATAAGACTGCGGTTAATATGTCAGATGCCTGCGGTATTCCCAAACCGGCCGTGCGGGCCGAGTTGGGACATCCCGATTGGGATCGGAGTTCATCGCTTGTTAACCCTATTCCTGGCGGGGGGGGGGCCTCAGGAGCCCCCCTGAGGTTTTTTGGTTATATCTCCCAAACGCGTTGAGCTAGGAAGCTCAAATTTTCTGACTTTTCCTAAAAGGCTTCTACGCAACATGTCTGAAAATTTTGAGTTGATCTGACCTCAGGTCAGGTCACCAGAGGCGGTTTGGTGACGCTACCTCAGAAAAGTTTGCAATCACGCCAGAGCTAGAGTTTTTGACCGATCAATTTCTTCTCTTCAGAGTTTAGTTAGGGTACCAGTATGTGTAATTTGTATATCTCGGAATTTTGATATCGGTGACCTAAGGTCAGGTCAATTTCGCGACCTCCCCATTATAAGTCAATGGGGGAAAAATCAACTCCCTGTTTTTACCACTAAAACGGGTCGGAATGGCCCCATATACCATACATGACTTCATATACGATCAACCTTCACTACCTTGAGGTCTGTTTTGCTGTTGGGCAGCTGTGAGGTCATGTGACGTCATCAAAGGTCACCAAAGGTTTTTGGCCAATAACTCCGTACAGGAACAAGATACAGACGCGTGGATGGTCTCATTGTGTTCAGCTCGTCAAGACGCATCGAATGATATACATGATGACCTCGAGGTCACGTGACCTGAGGTCAACCTTTGACCTTGACCTTGCGAGGTCAACATATATATCATTCGATGCGGATTGACGAGAGGATCACGATGATGCCCTTAGTTTGTTCCTATCTTGACTAATTCGAAAGTTATTCGAGAAAAACTCTCTCCATATCTAGTGCCGCCATTTTGACTTTTTCGACCCCTGTGACGTCATCTTTGACCTGACCTGAAAATGACCTTAGTAAAAATTGTAGATCTTGGCCGTGCGTATCCGATGCCGTTTACCGCTTGTCGCTATCTTGCTTCGTTCTCGAGATCTCAGGGGCGGGCCGAATCGGCCCCCCCGCCAGTTTCTTGTCCCGGCGGAGCCCGCCAGGAATAGGGTTAAAATGCCATAAGGCGGTCCGGATGCGTGCGGGATTTCCGAACCGGTTGTACGGGGAGATTTAGGGAATCCCGATCGGGATCAGAGTTCAGCGCTTGTTAAAACGTCATAAGGCGGTCCGGATACGTGCGGGATCTCCCAACCGGCCGTGCGGGGTAGGTTGGGATATCCGGACCGTTCCAGCCCGTACAAAGTGTCTCATTTCCCAATCCCGTCCCACTCCGGTCCCGATCGGGGTGGTGCGGGCTGAGTCCGAAAATCCCGATTGGGAACGGAGTGGGATTGCTGGCTGGGCGGTGGCTATCGCTGAATGACCCGGATTACCGCACAGCGCCGACCCACTGTGGCAGGGGATGACGCGATGTGGATCGCTTCCAGGACAATTCGGGAAACTCGGGCACGGAAACTGCCGGAACCCTAAATACGCTATACAGGCTAGTATTGATGATGATGTATCTGACATGCAATTGATTGTTTCAGAGCTCAAGAAGAAGCAAGAAGGATAACTTGAAAGGATACTTCTTGGCTTCCAGAAGCATGCACTGGATCCCGGTAAGAACTATCAAAAGGGGAGAAAGTTCAGGTTAAAAATGGCATTTTCACACCATTTTCCATTATATCGACATTGGAAATTAACTATAATCTCGCGATATCGACCAATGTAACGCTTCATTATTGAAGATGGTGCTCATTTAAAAACAACTTGACCCAGCCTTGCACCGGTCAGAAAATGTACTTGCCGCCGGTAAATGCCGCGCCCCATGACCACCCCCCCCCCCGCTCCCCTGCAGGTGGGGGCATCCCTGTTCGCCAGTAACATCGGCAGCGGTCACTTTATCGGACTGGCCGGCACCGGAGCGGCCTCCGGAATCGCCGTGGCCGGCTTCGAGCTCAACGTAAGTCGGGCGGCCGCGCAACGTGCACGCATTGCTGTTTACAGTGGTGCGTGAAGCAGTACCTATTTCAAGCATCTGAGGGTCGCCCATGGTATTGTCTGTAATGGTATTGTGGTTTATTTTAACCCTCGCCCGCACATGCCATTTTCCCATCCTAGAACGCACATGGGGTGGGGGGGGGGGGGGGTTGCCACCCCCCCGCGCCATTTCGTTCCTGTTGGAGATAGAGCTTAGCAGTAAAGACCAAAAAGATTCTTTAGGAAGAGACGAATCCAATGATACCCAGTTTTACCTTCTCAGGTCAGTCATTGACCTTCCAGGTCAGGTCAAACTAAAAAATGTTGCTGTTTTGGGTCACCGTTGGATATCAAGTGCGCTGCTTATCAAATACCGATGACGATGCTGTTTTCTGGTGCCAAGCCAGCTAGAACCTCTTTGTCACACTATCCGACCAGAATTTTGCTGCTGAGGTCATTTCAGGTCAAGTTAGGTCAAGGTCAATTATATGTGTTTGTATGTCTGTGTGTGTCTGTGTGTATACTGATGTGCGCACCGATTGTTTTTGGGTCCATATCACATGAAATCATGATCTGAGAAGCTTTTTACCAAAAATGCAGTCAAAAAAACTTCACAAAAAGTAAATTCAGCTTGCCTAAAACGCAATTATCTTAGATGACCTAGGTTGACCTTGACCCTGACCTTGACCCCTGTACATCGTCGAACAACATGTTCCATGATAGGTGGGAGGTAAGACTGGCAAAAAAGGCCGAAATCAGGGTGTCAAAAGCTCACAAGGCCCATGGCAAATGCAAGATGTTGAGAATTGGCCATTTGGGTCATACATGACCTGAAAAACAAGGTCATATCTCCGAAACCAAAAATCACAGACACTTGAAATTTTCAGTGGACATCAAGAAAGGATAGACGAGCAGCTATACGAAAAGTCAGCCTTCTAGCTCTAAAAATGTTGAGTGCAGAGTAGAAAGACTGTCTGGGGGGGGGGGTGGCAACCACCCCCCCCCCATGTGCGGGCGAGGGTTAATAATTGACCATCCATGAATGTCGGTAAATAACTAGCGTGTGTTAACCGCTATATGATTTATATTTCTATGCATTGATGTATCTATGTTTATGAGTAGTTATCTAGTGCGTTTACTTGTTAGTCCTTTATATTTATCTCTGCAGAGCCGATCAAATATAAAGTTATTTCTATAATAAGTTAGGTAGATAATGCCGTTTTATAAAGCAGCTTATGGTCATTTTCAGCCTACTTGTGCCTGGAATTACTTGATGGAAATAATGCAAATAAACCAAATAAACCCAATGTTCATGGAATATTTACCACATAATTGCGTAGGCTTTGGACTTTTTTTGACCGGCGAATAGAGCAATATTTCATTATTTGAAGCTCTAACCGACAAAAAAAAAAACGCATTTACAGCAATAACTCGACCATAAGACTCGAGCATTAGATCGGAAACCGACTTGTTCCGTTACCGTTATCTCCTCCCGTGTCTGTTGGCTGCCCAATGTTGTGCCAGCAACCCACTGCTCATCCTGGGGTCACGGACTTTCCCGGTGGTTGTCGACACAGACAACATGGCGAGACTCGGAACGACATTCGGCGAACTTAACCGGATTGTTTCTCGGTAAACTACTGCTCCGTTTGTTGACGTACAGAAAAGAAACAGCCCCCTCGTGCCCATGGAAGTTAGACACCCATGGAATTGGAAACATCGATTCCGAGCCACGGTATAAATAACGTCGGCTGTCTTCGGCTGTCTCCCCGGCTGGATAGCGCCATTTCTACAATGTCGACATGGGAATCACAAACTTTAGGGAGGGTGTCAGACTGTTATTGGCAGCCAGTTATCGCATTGAAACGTAAAGGTCACTCACAGTTCATCCTTACATGGGGATACTAGATAGATGAAGGGCTCATTGCATTCCAAAATATCTGGCATCTACAGCAGTTTCCTCATCTTTTAGGCAGAGGCGTTCTCTGTGGAATTCGACAGGCGTTGCGTGACCTGATGGCTATTGAGTATTGACCGATGTATGCTGACAGGCGCGGCGGTGTACCGTTTGTTCAGGTGACTGATAACGACTGATAACCACCTCTCGCGTGCCTGCCCTTAGGCGGTGTTTGTGCTCATTTTCCTGGGCTGGGCGTTCGTACCCGTGTACACGGCTGCCGGCGTGTACACCATGCCCGAGTACCTCCGACTGCGGTTCGGCGGCCAGCGCATCAGAGTCTACCTCTCCGTGCTCGCCATCCTGCTCTACATCTTCACCAAGGTCTCGGTAAGTTTTCAGTTGCCTGCAGAGCGCAGACATCTGGGCCCTGGGGTAACCATAGACTATGACGTGGCTACGTGATGAAATAAAACCGTCGCACTTCTAGTACCATGAAGATGCATCAACGCGCAAGGTATGATGCAGAATGATTGCAAAAAGATCAAAGCTTGCGATGAATGACCGTGCGCATGAAACATTCTTCAGAATAACAGTAGGGTATTCATCGCGTTTGTCATCCACCGTTTCACTAGGTCTTCCTCTGACCCTGCCGCCCTTTCTCCCTTCTGACAACCCTTGCCTCCCCAGTCCCGCTGACCTTTCCTCCCCGGCAGGCGGATCTGTACGCGGGCGCACTGTTCATCCAGCGGGCCATGCAGTGGGAGGGCGACCTGGGTCTCTACCTGGCCATCATCGTGCTCCTACTGATCGCCGCCATGTTCACCATCTTCGGCGGACTGACGGCCGTCATCTGGACGGACGCCGTGCAGACCGTGCTCATGATCGCCGGATCCATGATACTCTGCGTCATGTGTGAGTCCGCACGCCATGTTCTTTGGATTCTTTGGGTTTTGAGCCATGATAAATGGCTCATGAAAAAACATTATTTATCTTTACATTCACATTGATAAGCTGGAAATTAAAACAAAGTATTAACCCGGCAGTTGCTGGGGTATTTCGCCACCCACCGTTTGCTGGGGGGGGGGGGGTTAAACGCCCCCAGCCGATAACTCGAGAACCAGTAGGCGCAGCGAAACGCACGAGGCGGTAAACGAAAGAACGCGACGAGGCGCTTCAGATGAGTACTTTAAAGTTGAATTTTGAGGTCACAGGTCGGGTCAAGGTCAGGTCAAACACCTGAAATCGGGCTTTCAGTAGCATGTACTTCAGGACTTCGCAATGGGCGCCTCTCGTCAGAAACTCTGTCCAAACGGTGCACAATCCATCGTATAAGGCCTACAAGAGTGTCAGTTTCATGTAGGGGTCAGTCAAGCATAGGTCAGGGTCAAGGTCAGGTCAACCGGGTAGGCACATATCCCCGAAAATAAAAACTGTTATTCGCAGCCTATGACACATGTTTTATGGGTAATTTGGGCCGTAGAACACGGTGGTGACATTCATTTTATCATATGTGTACGTGTTTGGCTCAAAAAGTTTAATTTAAGAAATTCATTTATCATGGTCGTGAAGTAGTCACGAGAAATTGTCAAGATTCAGCTCAAGATTTTGGAAAATGCGGAACGATAATCAATAATTGAAGATAGCCATTTGCTTGTTCATGGTATTGGCATTCTAATGTCGTTTACGGCATGTCTGTATGTCTATTCTGTGATTTTATATGATTTTTTGAACATATGCCGTTTTGGTCGAAAACTCAGAAATCATAACGTCACTAAAACCTCGATATCTCAAAAATTTTCCGACCGATTTTTTTGAAACTGTGTCACAATAAACTTCAATCAATTCCCTACAGGTCCCCAAAATTTGGCGCGCCTGCGGCGCGCCATTTTTATGCTATGGCCCGGAGAAAAAAGTGGGGGCGTTTAACGCCCCCCCCCCCCAGAAACTCGCGAGTTAACGTCATTTCTGAAATTCCAGGAACATTTATATTTGTGTTACTAAAGATGCCGGGAAGAGACAAAATGTTGAAGTCCGACAAAATCATTCTTACTAAAGTACCTATTTCACTGGCCCATTTTCCTCCTGGTCCCGTTTCGTCCTGTCTCGGTCGGGCACCTCGTTTACCACCGCGTGTCGTGTCCCGGCAGCGTTTGTGGCCGTCGGCGGCTACAATGCGCTGATCGAGCAGTATTTCGAGAAGGAGCCGAGCGCCAACGTGACGCTGTACGACGCCGACAATCAGTCGTGCGCCGCCGCCCGTCCGGACGCCATGCACCTGTTCAGGTCAGCCGGCCCGTTCCCAGCGGGCTCGCCGCCGCCGCCGCCCACAGACATTGGAACGCCGACCGTGAACTCAATGGGTCTTTAAGCTGCTAAGGGTGTGTCTGAGTAAAAGTAGAAAGCAACAGGTGTTGAGCGTAAAGGCCAAATGACCCCTTTCACTTGCAGTTTAGTAAATTGTCGTCTGATTGGTTAGACAGAAATAGGAAAGCATTATATTTCGTACATATTTTCCTTATTGAACTGCAGTGGTATTCCATTTCATTGCTAGATGAAAGAACGTAGGCTCGTCGGCATTCGTCGATACACTAAAGGAACTTTCTACTGTTTCACTGATCAAAATTAGTGATATTGATAAGAGCTGCTAGGCTCAGTCTCGTACGTAAATACCAGATCCCTTGTGGGAGGGACGGCCGCTGTTACCGTTCCACCGGTCGTGTGTGTTGTGTCCCTCAGGTCAGCGGTACCGGGCGAGTCGGACCTGCCCTGGCCCGGAATGACGTTCGGCCTGACCGTATCGGCCGTCTGGTACTGGTGCTCTGACCAGGTGAGCCGCTGGGTCCAACTGTGTCACTGTGTCAGTGGTCTGGTGCTGAGAGTAGTACTGGGCCTACTTTTGGGTATTGGTGGCCTATGCTGGACCTGGTAATCCTTTTGAGTAGGATCTGCAGCCGTCACTGACCAAACGCGCACTATATTAGTCCAAAGCGCGTCGACGAGAAACGTTGTAAGTTTTGATCTCTTTTCTTTTGTTAAAAAAAGACACGGCAGCTAGGATGCAGCCTCTGTCTACCCATCCAGAGAACTCATTCCCGATGCATGACAGAATCCCCATTGCCCCCATCATGCATTCAGCTGCGGCTGGTACCTGCGTCATCGCAGTGTCTGACCAATGAATACCAACGACCACATTTTGGTAGCGTCCCGCCCCTCGGCGGACGATCATCACGGCCAGCTGATTGAACACCGGCGCCTTCCCCAGGTGATCGTGCAGCGCACCCTCTCGGCTAAGAACCTGGTGCACGCCAAGGGTGGCGTGCTGCTGGCGGGCGCGCTCAAGTTCCTGCCGCTGTACCTGCTCGTGTTCCCGGGTATGGCGGCGCGCGTGCTGTACACCGACTCCGTGGCGTGCTCAGAACCAGAGGCCTGTCAGCGCATCTGTGGCTCGCCCACCGGCTGCTCCAACCTGGCGTACATCGAGCTGGTGCTCAACCTGCTGCCCGTCGGTGAGTGCCGGACGTGGGGGAGCGCAGAGCCTCAGACACCGCGGGGGGCTGCGGAAGGACAGGGGAGGGGCTGCAGGAGTTACGGAGAGGGACGGATAGTTAGCAGAGAAATGTCTGCAGCTGAGGAGTCGGCGTGCATCAGATAAGTATAAGTCGATGGCATGTGGCCGATCTGTATTCCAAGGAAGGCTCACTGATCTCAGATGAACGATGATGCTCAGGCTCTTCGCCTAGTCCCTGACGTGGGTCCAACCCGGCAGGCGTGTCAGGTCTGATGCTGGCCGTGATGCTGGCGGCGCTGATGTCCTCGCTGACGTCCATCTTCAACTCGGCCTCCACCCTGTTCACTATCGACGTGTACACGCGGCTGCGGTCGCGCGCCTCGGAGCTCGAGCAGGTCATCGCCGGCCGGGTGTTCGTCGTGTTTATGGTGGCCGTCTCGATCGTCTGGATCCCCATCATCAACTCGTCGGCCTCCAGCCAGCTGTTCGTCTACATCCAGAGCATCACCGCCTACCTGGCGCCGCCCATCTGTGCCATCTACCTGCTGGCCGTCTTCTGGCCGAGAGCTAATGAACAGGTGAGGCGTCAGTCAGACTCAACTTAACAGGTGATGAGCCGTGGATCCAAACAGGACCGAGATTCGAGCACGCATGAGAAAATATTACCGCAATTATTCGAGTGTGCCTCGAGCTAGGAGAAAAAAAGGAACGGTGCATGAACTACATGCTCCCTTTCATATGCTGGTGTATATGAAGTTGAATACGAAAAAAAGCTTTGTAAATCTCCAGGACACATTTCGGCCGTTTTAGAGTTGGTAGCGGTATGGAATCGTGAGAGGTTCTCGATAACAGCGTGAAGGTAACAATATTGGAATATGCTTGCTCTTCAACGCAAAAATTGTACATTTCGTAAGCAATTTCAGCCGTGTTTTCCCTAAAATCACTTGATTCACCACCACTAACTTTTTCAGAAGATCTCGATTAAATGAGTGGCTCACGCCCCTGACGTCTGGGCGTTTCAGGGGGCCTTCTGGGGCATGATGCTGGGACTGGTGCTAGGCATGGTCCGTTTCGGCATCGAGTTCTCCTACACCGTTCCGCCGTGCGGCTCCGGTGAGTGGCTGCGGACAGACCGCGGGGGCGACCAGGGACGCCGTATATTCCGCACTGATAGACCCCTGCGTCGTATCAGGTTCGGTACTCGATGCCGGCGAAGTTCTGCGATATTGGCCATGCCTTGCTGGCGTGATTTCGCGGTAAACCGTCTGACGACGCAGTGCCATACAGGCTGTAACAGTAGTGCTCTAATAGGCACCCCGTGCGACGTACTTACCTGGCTGAAGGCCGAATAAAAGCGCGCCTGCTCAATGCACTCAGGCGGCCTATAATACTTATACAGTATACACCCAGTGACCTAATCAAGACAGTTTTTTTTTTGAATTTTGCTCCCGACAGGCCGAGGCCCTGGTCGGGGTAGGGGGAAGTTACTAGCTGGCAATTAGCCAGATCTTCCGTTTTACTTTACTTTAATGCCGGCTATGTTATTCCGGCCCAAGGCAATATCAAGAGCAAAGTTTACGTTAGACCGGCTCATGTGACGTCCGGTGGGAGCAAGTGCAAGGGAAAGCCAGAAAGGGTGCCAGAGTGGCAGTGCCGAGAGGGATTTTGAGTACTTACATTTCTTGCTGCTGAATCTTGATGCTGAAATGTGGTAGTGTTGTAATGTGTGCTGTTGTTGTGTTGCGAGTTCCACCAGGAAAGTCCTAACTAGAAAAACCTGGTGCCTATCTTAGAGGGCAAAACCTGTGCGCTTTTGCCAAATTGCACAGGAAAAATCCCTTTGCTTTGATATTACGTTACGTTATATCGCTAATGTGTAAGTGTGTTTGTGGGGCTATGTGTCTCGAGTGGGCCTCAACCTTTAAGAGGGATCCCTGTCGAGAACCGCGAGAGGGATGGGCAGGTGCCGATTGCCGCCGCCGCCGCCGGAGGGACGCAAACGCGCGCGCTCGCAAACATAGACGAAATCACGGCGCAACAAGAACAATGGAAACAAAAACAATTACGATGAAATCACGAGAGAAACCAAGAGAAACCAAGAAAAACCAAGAGAAAATCATGTGTCCAAGGAGTTGGGGGAGGAGCCCACCGCCGCGTGCCAGTGGTCCCCGCGGCGGCGGCTGGTGCCCGTAAGCTCGGGGCTCCTACAAAACCCCCACCAAGTGCTGATTGGTATGATTAGAGAACTGACGTTTCAGTGCGGACTCCAGTGACGTAACAATTCATTAAACGGGTCGTTGCGGACGGCATAGTGCCGACACCTCTTTCTCCAAGCAGATGGGGGGCAGAGGAGCCCGCCGCCGCGTGCCAATGGTCCCCGCGGCGGCGGCTGGTGCCCGTAAGCTCGGGGCTCCTTAATTGACATGGCCAGTATCCAGGAAATCAAAAAGATTGAGTCCCGCGCCCAGAACCGCTATCGACGGCTGGCCGACCACGGAACTGAGCGCGAGACTGTGCTATATGGATCGGTCTAGCCTGGAATTCTTCAGGAAAGTGAAAAGCAAGTCGAGTAGATCCGGGTGAGAATCGCCGAGGAGAGTAGGAATTGAAAGTGCAAGTTGGTTGTGGGTGATATATTGGATTATAGGTTGCCTCTCTGCTTGATATTGGGGACAGTGGATCAAGAAGTGTTCAATTGTGTATCTTATGTTACAACGTTGGCAGATTGGAGGGGGGCCTTGATCAAGGATATATTCATGTGTCAATTTAGTATGTCCGATTCTAAGTCTGGCTATAATTACTTCTTTAAGCCGGGTATTTTGATAAGCAGTCGACCAGTGTCCGATAATTGGTTTGATTGGGTGAAAGTAGTAATGTGGATTTACGTCCCATTCAAACTGGACATACTTTTTGTAGGACGTGTAAATGACATTAAGATAATCTGATACCGGGCATGGGAGGGAGTTATTGGGGGGATCACGGAGGCTGGCTTTGGCCGCTTTGTCCGCGCGCTCATTCCCCACAATATTCGCGTGACCGGGTATCCAGATTATCTTAACTTCTCTGTTTTGGTCGGTGATTTGATTAATTTGTCTTTTAATGTCTCGCGTGATTGGGTGCGAATCATTATGGGCCGCTGCGATTGATTGCACTGCTGCCTTGGAATCAGTACAAATCATTAGTTGTCTATCAGGTTTGTTGATTACGTGTCGAAGCGCTGCACTGATCGCGTAGAGTTCGGCCGAAAAGATGGAGTGGTTATCGGAGAGGCGGGTGGATTGTGCGAATCCTTTTATATAGAAGGCGGCTCCGGTCTTGTTGTCCGCCCGAGAGCCGTCTGTGTATATAAAAGTATGGTCTTTATGGTCGTTTTGGAATTCGAGGAAAAGTTGTTTCATTTCATCAGTGTTCATGTCTTTTTTGTTGTCATCGAAGAGGATGAGGGTTTGGATGGGGTGCCTAGTCCAGTACGGGCTCAGTGGAGGGTTATCAAGAACCTTTGGAGTTTCTATTTTATAGTCCCTAAGTATGTTTTTAAGGTGTCTTCTTATTGTTTGGTACTTGTATTCTCTATGTGTTATTATGTTATTTTCTGGTAGGTTACTGAGTATAGCGTATGGTATTGTATCTTTTCTTGCCATTACTTTCGTGTAATACCTTATAAGCTGGTATTCTCTTCTTCTTTCCAGAGGAGGAATGTTTGAATCAACACGGAGATTCGATGAAGGCGAAGTGCGGAGTGCGCCAGAAATAATGCGAAGAGCGGAATTCTGGATACTCTCGACCTTGTTACTGAGAGTAGTGGATATATTTGTTAGTAAAAAGGCATTATAATCCAAGATGGATCGAATCAGAGATGTATATAGAAGTGTCAGTGTTTTTCTGTCGGCGCCCCAGTGTGTACCAGAGATACATTTCATGATGTTGAGGCGCCGGGTGCACCTTCCTGTGATGTCTGCTATGTGTTGTGTGAAAGTGAGTCCCCTGTCCAGTGTGATGCCTAGATATTTAAAGGTATTTGTTTGCGGAATCTCAACCCGGCCCAAACGGAGCGGGCGTGGAGGTGTGGGGTGTCTGCGTTGTTTGGAAAAGGTTAGTGAGGCTGACTTGTGGGGAGCAATTTGCATTCCCCACTTGTCACACCATTTGTTTACGTGGTTTAGTACCGTTTGAAGTTTTTGGTATGCCGCATTCACATTGTGGTGCGACGTCCAGACCGCCAAATCGTCCGCGTACATGGAATAGTGTACGTTATGTGTTACATTGTGTATATTGTCAAAGATGTCATTTATATATATAAGGAAGAGCGTCGGGGAGAGAGGACTTCCCTGAGGGACGCCGTGATCGAGGTTATGTAGGGTTGAGTAGGTGTTGCCTACTCTGACCTTGAAAGTGCGGTTATTAAGAAAATTACTTATGAAATTGGCCATTCGGCCGCGTATTCCCATGTTATGTGTTTTTATAAGTATAGCTTTGTGATGTACTTTGTCGAAGGCTGCTTTCAGATCGAGGAAGAGTGCAGCTGTAACTTTATTATGGAAAAACCCCTGTTGTATCGTGTCAATAATGTGTATCAAGTTGTCAGCTGTGGAGCGTGCTGGTCGAAATCCGTTTTGGTGTTGTGAGAGCTTGTGTTGTGATTCTAGGTACACTCTGATTCGATTGTTGACCATTCTCTCGACGATTTTAGAGGCACAGCTCGACAATGAAATTGGTCTGTAACTAGCTGGATCGGTGCTATGTTTGTCTTTTTTGAGAATGGGGATGATTATACTTTCTCTCCAGGAGTCCGGAAAGTGGCCTTCAACCCATAGCTGGTTGATGACCTTGAGAAAGTGTTCAAGGCCAAAGGGGGTTAGTTTTCTGAAGAACATGTAGGGCAGTTTGTCCGGGCCTACCGAAGTATTCCCACACTTTACGATTGCATGTTGTAGTTCATATAGGGTGAATAGGTGATTGTAATGTTCTGTGTTGTCGGATTGGAACGTGAGTGTTGATAGGGTGGTGCTGAGGTTGTTGTGTAGAGTGCCTGAGTAGTTGTTGTTTGAGGATATGTTTGCATAATGGGCTGCAAATTGTGTGGCAACTGCTTGTGGGTCTGTTGTGAGTGTGTTTTGTATAATCAGTGACGGAATTTTATATATCTTTGGTTTATTGATGCGGAAACATCTAAGATGTTCCCAGACTTTAGTAATGGGTGTGAAACGGTTGAATTTGTTCGAAAAGCTTTCCCAAGACTCTTTTTTTGCTGCGTTGATGACTTCTTTTGCGTTCCTGATTTCGTTCCTGAGCTGAATTTCATGAGCAACACAGGGGCAGGCCCTACATTTCCGTAGGGCTCTGCGGCGCCTCGCGACTGCTTTTTGACAGTTTTCCGTCCACCACGGGGCGTGTTTGTAACCCTGTCTTTGCTTTGTCAATGGGACAGAACGTTCAGCTGCTTCGCCTATTATCTGAAGGAAACTTTCTATGTTTACTGTATCGTTGTCATTTACGTTATTGTTTGTATTGTCGTTGAAGCTAAGAATGTCAAGTTGTTCATCTATGTCGTCCTGGAATGTCGTCCAGTCCGCTTTGTTAAAGTTCCATTTCGGGAGGTATGTATTTATGGTTGACCTTGAAGAGGATTCAACTGTTATATGCATAGGATAATGATCACTAAAGTATTGGTCGATTTGCACTTTTGGGGTAAAAAGCAAGCTGATTTCTGGAGAAGTCAGCACAAGATCAATTACCGAGTATTGATTTGTTCCGTTCATGATTCTGTGGAATGTTGGTGATTTGTCATTAAGACAAATGAGATTATGTTTGTTAATGATGTTGTAAAGTGTGGTGCCGCGCTGTGTTATGTTGTTGCAGCCCCAGGCAGTGTGGTGAGCATTAAAATCACCTATTATCAATTTAGGGGAGGGGATTTGGCCAAAGAGTCGATCCAGTTGTTGGTACGTTACGTTAATACTAGGTGACAAGTAGAGAGAGATTACATTAACGTCTCGCTGTGCAATTTTGATTGTGGTTGCAACGTAATTTAGGTTAGAGTCAAAGTTAACTTGATGATGTAGAAGGTTGTTAGAGACATACAAAGCCGAACCGCCTCGGCGTGGGGAATCATT